GAATGGAGGAGAAGGGATTGCGGCGTGGCCATCCCCCCTGGGGGGTGATTTCTCACTTTCTGTCTCTCTGTCTTTCTGGCAAGCATATGTGCCCTATAGCAAAAACCTCTCTCAAAAAAAAAAAAAAAAAAAAAAAGAAAGAAAGAAAGAAAGAAGGGTCTGGGTGTGTGACCAGAGACCTCCTTGAGGACACCAGCACACATGTACTCAAGAACAGGGGCTGCTGAGGTGGGTGGCCATGCCGGGACCTTACTGGGGTGTGCTGTCTCTCTCTCTGTCTTGCTCATGAAGTATTTTGTTTTGTTTTGTTTTTTAACATTTATTAAAAAGAGAGAGAGAGAGAGAGAAGCCTCCAGCCCAACCGTTTCTGTGCGCGTGCACGGACACGTGCTTTCCCGAGTGACCGCCGCACTCTCCACGCTTCTGCTTCTCTACCGCCACGCGGCTCCTTCGTGCCCTGCTGCGGAACCCCACTCGCAGGTAGCCCTTCTGTTTCTAGGTGAAATATGTAAGACCTCTTGCACCACAGGAAGGTTAGAAAACACAGATAACAGCTTGTTTAGATAAGGATCTTGGCAAACAAACTCATTAAAATGCTCTTCCTCTTCCCGCATGGCGGGTTTCTCTGAAGTTTCTAAGTCATGTTTTTGGCTTCAAAAGCAGGAAGGTACCATGAGGCGAAGTGACTTTCACAAATCTCTATCCAAAATTACAGATAATTTTAAGAACTGACCATGAGATTACTACGGATCTCGTTGATAATAGCTGCCTGGTGGCCTGGGATGCCCACCTGTTACCGAGCACACTCGGGGCACTGAAGGAGCCAGTTTCCCTGGGAGCGGTCACAGACCCGCAGGCCTACGTCTTCCTCGGAGAGGTGTCATTTGAATCTAAGTCCATTTAACCTCGCTTATTGCCACGGAGATCATTTTCTCTCCTACGTTTTCTTTCTGAAAATTATCTTTCTCCTCATAGAGAACATCAAGAAGATTTCGTAGTTTTAACTTAGGGTTCTTGATTCACTCCTGTCCTCCCTGCCCAGACCCCACTCCCCTACACATACACATGTACCACACACCTCGCACATGCATACACACATACACCACACATACACACATGTACCACACCTCGCACATACATACACACATACTACACACATCACATATGTGTACACATACCACGTGCCACACACTACACATACACCACACACCTCACATGCATGCACGCATACCACACATGCATGCATGTACCACATACCATGCATACACACATGTGCTACATACATCTCACATACATAACACATACCACACATACTTACATGTACCACACACACCACACATACACACATTTACCACACACCGCACATACACACATACCATACACAGCAAAGCACACATACATACACACGTACCACACACATCACACATGCATGTATGTACCACATGCACCACACATATATACACACATAGCACACACTACACATACATGCACATGTCATACACACCTCACATGCATACACATGCACCACACACCACACATACATACACACACCTCACATGTATATAAACGTACCACACCACACACAACATTTACCACATACACCTCACATACATACACATACCATACACACCTCACGTGCATACACATGTATCACACACCACACATGCATACACACACTACACACAGCTCACATGCATACGCATGCATATACACACCACACATGCCTTACACACATACCACACACCACACATACACTCATAGCAGACACCTCGCATACATACTCATATCACACACCCCTCACATACCTCACATACCACACACACCTAACATACATACACAACACACAGCATACACATACCACACACACCTCACATACATACACATGCATACACCTCACATACATATATGCACCTCATATGCATACCACATACACCTCAAATGCATATACGTAGCACACACGCCTCACACACATAGACATACAACATAATTGCATGCACACACAGTCTCCTCACTCACAGTCACAGATGGCTCAGCCCCTCCGCTGTGGGCACAGAGAAAGCCACCCCACCTTGGTGGATCTGGGCAGCTCCGCAAAAACAGCGCACTCAGGAGCCTGGCACTCCGGGTGGTGGACACCTGCCCTGCGGTCTGCCCGGCCCAGGTGGTGGCCAGGAGCGCACCAGAACCAGGCCTGGCTCCCTGCACCAGCTCCCAGACCTGCCGCTCCAAGGGGCAGTGCGGCCGTTGGGGCCAGGGCGAGGTTCTCACCTGACCTGGGCCCTCCTCACCTGTCGCCTGCACCCCCCTCACATACGCACACACACCTGGCTGACCCCAGCCCCCCACATGCGCTCACACCTGGCTGACCTCAGTCCCCCCACATACACGCACACACACCTAGCTGACCTCAGTCCCCCACATATGCACACACACCTGGCTGACCCCAGTCCCCCACATACGCACACACCTGGCTGACCCCAGCCACCCCACATATGCACACACAGCTGGCTGACCCCAGCCTCGCAACCTCTCCAGGTACCTGCTCTGCTTCCTCCCAAGCCAGACACCTTGGCCTTACATGAACATCACAGTACCTGGGTCTGGTTTTTTTTTAATTCCTAGATATGATGGAGACGCTGGCAGGCTGACAATTAAGCGAATAAAGAGGTAATTACAGAGGCCCGTTTCCTGGACAACCGCCCTCCCCCAGCCCTCCTCCGACAGGGAAAAACCACCCCGCGGCGCGCAGGGGGAGCCGGAGAGCCACGCGGGCTCTGCGCAGCCGGGGGAGCCCAGCCGAGGGACGCCACGCGGGAGGGTCGGGGTCTCGGGCTGCGTTCCGGCAGGCTGCTCGTGGTTGCCATAGAAACAGCGGAGACGGAAGGACGTGTTGCATGACACAAAAGCGCGCGATGGGGCAGGAACGATCCCCCGCTCCGTCCACCGCCGTGACCATGCCTCAGCTCCCGTGCCCGCCGCGTCCCCGCGCCCTCCGGGCCGAGCTGCCCTCGCCGAGGTCCCGGGAAGCCGGGAATGCACGCGTCAGCCACGCCCGGGGCCTGGGGCCCGCGGGCCGCACCGCAGACCTACCTCCTCCTGGCAGCCCCGGGCACATGGGCTCGGAGATCCGAAACGGGAAGAGGCCGGCGGGGCTCCGAGCTGCACGAGTTCTGGGAGCTCGAAGCTAGGCGACGCTGGGAAGAAAAGGGCAGACTCCACCCATGGGGTGGACCCTTCGGGAAGGAAAAAAAGTGGTCCTCAGCTGACGTCTCTCCCTCCCACCATGTCACTTCCTTTTAGAGCTGCGATTTAGCAGTTACCGGGAGGGAAGGGGGAGCGGGTGTAACCTGAGTCACTGCCCACCCCTTCCAACTGGTGTGAGGAAGCGCTTCCAAGGGCTCCTCGTTCGCGACCGCCACCGCCACCGCCACCGCGCTGGCGGTGGGGCTCGGGGACCTGCCAGAATCCAAAACAAAGCCCGCCAAGGGCCTCCTTTCTCTCCTCCTTCCAGGTCCTGTTGCATCCCGGGCCTGAATGGCTTCTCCGACGCCGAGCGCAGCTCCCGCCCGCCGGCGGAGCGACCTGGAAGTTATCCCCAGCTGCTCGTGTTTAATAAAGCGAGAAAGCAATCGATTTCTTGGGGGAAATACCCGCTCTCGGACGTCCCTCACCTCCCCTCTGTCCCGCCGCTGTGCTGGAGGAGATTGCATTCCGCGCAGAAGAGCCCAAAAGCACCTTCGAGGACATCGTGCTCCACACCCGAACACAGATGCTAACACCTGGCATGAAAGACCGTGCGGAGCGATGGCGTTCCTCCCTCCAAGCGCCGGCGCCTAGGCTGATGCCCGCGGAGCCGACCTGCACACACGCACGTGCAGGCATTCGCACGCGGGGTATTAGCAAGGGGCTGGGCAGACCCTTTATAATGGAATCGTGTCCTCACTACGTTTAAAGAGGGCGCGCTGTGGAAAGTCCAGAAATGGCAAGTGTGCGCCACTCCCAGTAAAGTATCTCGATCTCAGGAGTTAAGGAGCATGCCCTTCAAATGTTCGCTCTTACAGCCACTGTTGCAAATGCCAGCTCAGCATCCACTACGACTCCCAAATTCTTCCCGGTCCATAGATGTTGCAGGTCTACACTCTCCGTGAGAAAAGTAGCGCTGCTCACATTGCAGATTACCGAGTATTACAAATGCTGAAAACAGTGTTTCAGGAAAACAAAGGGAATGGGAAGAGCCCGGTGTTGTGGTGGGGGAGGGGAGGGCATTCATAATTCAGCAAACAGTCGGAACCCAGCGGGTGGCATTCTGATCCTCTGTGTAGGGAGACGTGACTGCAAGGGTGAGGATAAAAGACGTCTGAGGCAGAAAGCAGGATCAGAAGGAAACCCATTTGTTACAATGGCTTGTTTTAACATCCATGTGAAAATAAATCCGACCATAGAGTAACGCTTATAAAAGGCATTTATGAGAAGTTTCTTGCAGCCAATGCCAATTTTAAGAGTTCTCTCTCGTAATTTTTCAAATTATATTTTACAAGCCATTTGTTTCTAGGTTTGGTGTAAACTTGAAAAGGCTTATCAAATTTCAAATCGAGTTAGACTGTTTTCCATAATTGAACTTTTAGTGGGAATTTATTTCAAAATCTACACATTGCATAAATACTTACTGTATTTATTGGAATTACAGTCAATGATTTCAATGGAAACAATAAGGAATTTAAAATTTTGACAATTGCAACTTCTAGTCCCCTCCTAATACTTAGTGTCTTTATTCTGTTATTATGATTATAATAATTATCTTCATTATAGTTAACACATCGTAAAAGGGGTGGGGAGAACCGAATGTCCACCTGTGGAAGACAATGCTGCTCGCTGTCTTAATTATCTCAGAAACAGGAGGGCGGCTTCAAAAAGTTAACAGAAAATGCATATTATAAAAAAAGTATGCGTGTATTTGACAAGCTTTTGCAACAAAATAACTTTGTACTTTCATTGTTTTTCATGAACTTTTGAAGTCCTCTCAGAGAGCTGAGAAATACGTAGGAAAAAAGAGGTAGTAACGTCAAAACTTTAAAGAAGTGCCTCATCATGGATTCGTCCTCTGCACTTTTTCCAGAGTCTTATTTAGAGTCTGTGTCTTATTTATAGTGTTTTTCCTTAATCGAGGAATTGGAAATGCTTCCGGGTCATAATCTAACAATTCGATTTAACAAATATTTATGATCTGTGCTCGTTGCTGACAAACAATGAGTAGGACGTGGACCTTGCCCCAGTGTGCTCAAAGTAGTAGAAGAGAAAGAGCCCTGTAAACAACTAAGCTAAGAATGGAGGCAACCTTGTGGGCAAGGTTCAGAGGTGGTCCAGAGAATGCTAAAAAAGGGGGCTGGGGGCCCCTGTGGTTCCATAGCTTGCAGCGAACTGGTGAGCTGCTTCTCCAACACTGAGATGGTCAGAAGTAAATCCTTCTTGTGGGAGGGCAGAGAAGCAAATTTAGAAGGAGACACAGGCATAACTGGTTATGTAAGAAAGAATACAAAAACAGCTCATTAGCAAACAAAAAAGATACAACCTCACATAAAGTACAAAGGAAGAGATGGCATATCTTTGCCTATCGTTGGTCAAACACCCTGAAAGCTAGAACGTGAGGTGTGAGAAGGATGCCACGCTGTGGGCTCTTCCCTGTCTTGCTGGCAACAGTCAAATGATGCCATTTCTGGAATTCAGTTACACAAAAACTTTATGAGCCTTTAAAATGTTCATAGTCCTTAATCTTGTGCGTTAAACCCATTTAGCTCACAAGAACCTATAGCAAGGAAGTAAACAGAAATTCGGAGCTGCAGTGCATGTATATTCGCAGAGCTGCTGACAACAGTGAAGACGGGAACCCATTGGGTTGGCTCTGGAAATGACGTGACAGTCCTGTGATGGAATGCTTGCCAAAAAGTGAAAACCCGGTTTTCCAAAGTTAAACTTTCATGATAGCATAAATGAAAAGGAGACAGAATTACATGTCCAGTGTGAATCCCTTGCTATAAGTATGTGGGGTTTACTAAGTGTCCCTTCCAAATCCATGCCTTCCTGGAACCCCAGAGGACAATCTTACGTGGAAATACAGTATTTGCAGATGAATTAGTTGGGACGAAGTCGTGATGGATTGGGGTAGACCTTAGATGCAGTCCTTTCTAAGAGGAGAGGGTACAGAGGGGTGCACACAGAAATAAGGCCACACGACGACTAGGATCCAAAGAGTGGAAAGATGTGTCTAGAGACCACGGAACACCGAGGGTGGTGGACACCTACCGGAAGTTGGGGAGAGGCCTGGAAGGGAACCTCTTAGAGCCCCCAGAAGGAACCAAGCCCGCTGACACCTTCATTTCGAACTGCTGGCTTCTGAGCTGTGAGTGAGAGAACGTTGTAGTCCTAAGCCAGTTGATTTGTGGCGTTTGTGACGGCTGCCACGCGAAACTAAGACAGTGTGCAAAACGGTCATCTGACTGTTTGCAACGAGGACTTAATTTATTTGCCTCTTCACATTTGGTTGATTTTGAAAACCTTTCTACAGTGAAGGTGCATGACTTTATGAGTATGATTAAAAAACAAATGACCCAAGTTTCTTTTTACTTTTAGTTGCCAGAGAGTGTGTGCTCACCAGAAAGACAGAAAAAGCACCCCCCAATGGCACAGGGCCATGCCACCATCCCTTATCCACTTTTCCGTCCTGTCAGGACTCAGGGCACACTCAGGGACCTGGCATGTTTTCCAAGCCTTTGGGGTGAGAATTTGAACCTCAGTCATACAAAATCCAGTTCTAGTAACTACTAGACTGTAAGGACAGCCTAGACTCAAGGTTTTTTCTTTTCTTTCTTTCTTTCTTTCTTTCTTTCTTTCTTTCTTTCTTTCTTTCTTTCTTTCTTTCTTTCTTCTTCCTTCCTTCCTTTCTTTCTTTCTTTCTTTCTTTCTTTCTTTCTTTCTTTCTTTCTTTCTTTCTTTCTTTCTTCTTTCTTTCTTGCCATAGAACACATGCATTTACTAGAATGAGAAAGAGAGACAGAGAAAGAAAGTGAGAAATCACCCCCCACCCCTGAGGGGGATGGCCATGCTGCAATCCCTTCTTGTCCATTCTCCTCCTGGGATTTTGGGCACACATACATATGTGCCTGGCATGATTTTCAAGTCACCAGATCTGGGATTTGAACCGTACCCGACCACCTGAGAGTCTATCACCTTAACTACCACATCATCTGCGGGCCCCCCGACCCAAGATTTCTAAAGGCTTAGTGTTCTAGGATAATTTAGAACAGAAGTAAAGAATAATCAATGATGATCTGACATGTTAAATCCTAAAAATTATTTTCAGAGTCCTCTGTAGAGCTGGAATTTTGTATTTCGGAAACTTATTTTCCAACCTAAGTTTTGGTACTTCCGTGGTCAATATCATTGATCTGAAATAGTAACTTGGACATCATCTATTGATCACGGGTAGTTGAATTACTAATAGCATTTTCAAACTGCTCATTCTCCTCCACGTCGACAGTATTTGCTTTACTTCCGCTTGCCTGTGACCCCTGTTACAGATATCTTCCTATGCTGTAGACTTATTCATGCACTTTTGAAGAGTCCCTAAATTATAAATTATAAAGAGATAATAGAGTTGCAATTATGATGACCTCACTGCATGTTAAACTGGGAACTATGGCTGCTTAGAGGAGACAGAAAAAGGGCATATAATAATGTTGATTTGGTATTTGAAATGTATAGTCTTATACCTAATAGTTGTATATGAGGGGACTTCAAAAATTAGGGGGAAATGAAATTAAAGGACAAGTTCATTTCGGTACAAAACAATATAGAATCTGTGAAGAGTTTTTTTCATAATATACATTTTCCATGAACTTTTTGATGATCCGTCATGTTTCAGTCAAGTCTTTTTAAAAATAGGTTGCATGTGTTTTTAATGACCAACGAGTTTTTAAGTCTGTCTTATTGCAATAATTATAAATACAAATAGGTTTAACTTTACCATTGAAAGATATACAAAATTTTCTTTGTAACCAGTGAAGATTAAGACCTGCATTATCCCCCCAAAATTAAAATATCATATTATATTTTATGCATACTCCTGTCTTGAATCCAGACACTGAACGACTTGAAGTTACAGACAGGAGCAGTTCTCAGAAGGAACTGAATTCAAATCAACTAAGACCCAACAATTGGAATTAAACTTAAAAAGATACCAGCTTCATGATCT